AAGTCTCTGTGTGCTGGCACAGTGGGCCGAGGTATGAGGGAGGTGGAGAGAATTTGTACGCGTGTGTGTGGGAGACTGTAACCGGTTCCTGTGGTAATGAATAAGGGCTGAGATTTGTATTCAGTATGGGAGCTTGTTTTGTGAGCAATGCACCTTTCTGCCTGTGTGGAGGCAAAAAGAGCTGAGATGTGTAGTGTGGCAGCTTCATCACCTCCATAACACCCGGGGCGGGAAAGCAGCCCTTAAAGACGCGCTGAAGGCCCAACGCCTCATCATGTTACACCGTATATATTGACACTGGGGAAGTATAGCAACAAACAGTCAATAACGGTACAGAAGAATATAATGTTGGTTTGTACAGGTACTTTGAGATGAAACTAGCTGCGGCCATGTTTGTTCTTGGTCAGCACTGCTGGTGCTTCTCTCTGCGAGGATTTAACACGTTTGTACCCGTTCATCTTAAAACACAGTTAGAGTATCCAGATGCGTTAGGAAGGTATAAACCCAAAGTTGTAGTTTTGGTATTGAGACAACTCAACACCACCAGAGTTATGAGTGAGCGTTTCCGCTTTGCGCTCACTCATATGCCGCTTTATCAAAGCGATAAAAACCTCCTCTGAGCATTTCTGTGAGTGACGATGAACTGAATAACCAACGGCGATGTTGAATTAGCTGATTCAGATTGGCCCAAAAGAGACACACCCGTCTCCAGAGAGTAGGTTTATCCCTTCGCATGCGGTTGTTTCTGCCCTTCTGTTTCCTACACATTGCTGTGTGTACGGTGGCTGTTTTGTTCGTGACGTTGTTGTCGGGTCTCTTTTGCGTTCTCCCTCATAACCGATTCACATGTTTTATTACACGCGGTGTTCGCTAAGAAACCCGGTAATTGAGTTCCAAGTTCACCCCTGCGGGAGAGTGGCGCTGTTGTCGAGAGACGCAGCCTCCTCTTTCCCAGTATGTCTCCACAGCATGATGGAGCGCGTGTGACGTTCTAAATGTGAGAAGGGCGTCAAAGTGTCCGTGGAACCAATGCAGTCAGATATTTTCTAAAGGGAGACTTTAACGTGTGTGTGTGTGTGTGTGTATATATATATTAAAAACATGTTATTGTTCTATGTGAAAAATATTGTACAGAGAGGGATGAAGAAAGAGAAGCTCCCCTTGTTTTAAGTAGAGGTGGGGCCGTGTGAGTGTGGGTGGGGGGGGTCGGAGGGCAAGGAGCAGTCATGCAGCAAACATGCCCCACTTGCGCTGACGTATAACTCACACGGAGGTCGGTGCACTCAGATGCACCTCGGGTCAGTAGGTCGTATAACGTCAAATTCCCTCCTCACGGCCTCGTTTCACTAAGACACACAGTAAAGTCTTAAAAGTGTGAGGGCAGATTTTGTTTTACTTTAGCCGCCGGTTAACCAGACACATAAGTCTGTGTGAGCAATACGTCAGGGTTGTGGCTTATTTCCTGCTCTATTCATGAGAGACGTTGAGTCTGGGCGTGTCTGCCCCAGTGCTGCTTCCCCCTTTGTGATATCATGCACAGTGTACGTAGCCGTGGCGACATTGTAAGCAAAATTGTAACACTTTCACACACTCTGTGAGGCACCCCATCCCTCCCCTTACCTCACCCGTACACTCCCCTCTCCTTACCCACCGGCTCTCAGAAATATTTACAGAAGATTGATATCCAGAAATGTTACCACCCCAATACCCAACTTCTCTGAATCACAAATCACACCACAAACAGAAATGTGAGTGCAATAAGCCCACATCCATCCCAACAGACAGGTCATTTGTTTTCTCTATATTTCTGTGAATACTCTGAATTCATAATGTCCTTGGGATTCTCAGTCATACTTTAAATAATGTGTTTAGACCTTATATATAACGTTATGTAAAGCATATCCAGATTGGCAGAAAGGCCTTTGTGTTCTAATCATTACATTGTCATTCAATATTTATTTTTTGATGGCCTTTTGCTTTTAAAACAAAGGTCCCTGCTCAGTCTTTGTCTGCTACACACAACTTCTTTGTTTTTAGTACCGGACTGTGGATGTTTGTGTTAAAGCTGCAAGACTAAATAAAGATCCAGTGTGGCAGCAGGCGAGACGAAAACCTTTTAAACGCGGTACGCAAACAGGCAGGGCACGACACCAAGATCACCGATGAATGACTCGGGCTGATAAATGTAAATCCAGCTCAACTTTGACTTCATTTCAACACAGGCGACTGCAAAGGCCCTTTCACAGTGCTGCACTCCTTCCAGGATAACGTACAATACAGTTGCCTTAATTATACTATGATAAGAACATGTGACTGCTCCCACTCCATTAGTCCATCACAGGCGTTAGATGGTCAGCCTCATGGCCAATCTCGGTTCCCTGTTCATGATTCAGCTTATATATATATATATTAGGGCTTATAGAAGAACTCGATTTAATGTCGGTGCCTCTCTGTGAGCTTGATAAACAGCAGGATAAAGTTGTTATTTCACCTAGCCGCCCGTAGTGCTTTCCACAGTCCTTCAGGTCAGATCGCGGAGTCATCAGATGAAATCCAGCAGGTTCACCAGAAGCTCTCTGAGCTCAGACTCCAGCTGTTTTTTTTTTTTTAATTTATTTTTTTAACATGTATCTGTGGACACAGCCGTAACACATTCAGCCTGCTGCTGTCTCTGATGCAAAGCCATGTGCGAAGTTACAGTGTTTGAGAAATATGATATGAAGAAAACCTTTTAACTGTAGCTTTAAATCACATGTTTGAACAATAATAGTCACACCTTTTCTCCTTCCATTTGTTGGTTGAGAGTAAATCAGTTGCCAGAAACGGGCTAAAGTAATAATTGAACAAAGTTAGAGAGGGATTAGACTAATGGTAATATTATTTTGGAACGTCTTGGATATCGAAATAATGTTATTGTAGATATTGTTTTAGTGAAACAGCTGATTGTACTTCAAAGCACAAACTCTTTTTCTATGACAATAACAGTTCATTGCCCATAATTAGTTTTAGTTTGATACGTTATTTAGCATTCACTGCCTTAAGGTGATGTGCTGTAAACGATCATGTGATCTTGTGGTGTTGACTGTAGCCGAGCTGTGTGAATGAGCGCTTTGTACCTCGTAAGGAGCTGAGATCTGTCAGTGTTTCCTCTAAGATTTGTAAGCCAAACATATTTAGTCAACTGTACTTGTGGGTTGAAAAGCGGAACTGTGCCCGCTCAGTTAGTTGACAAATGTTGACAAATTGACAAGTTTTTTTTTTTTTTTTTTCCTCCCCGCCATCTCTAAAGCCACCTTCCTGATGTGTCGTAGTCGGTTTCCTGTGCGATCGCTCTCAATCCAGCGTGCCTCCTGTCAGCCGTGCGTTTCATTAGTGTGACTTTCTCAGAGCGAAGTGGTTAACGGGACGTACCTGCCCGTTAACCACTTCCTTCTCTTGACCGCTCTCCCCATCCTCATTGGTTTTCTCATGTCACAGAAGAAGAGGCTGTTGTTTGTCTTTCGTCAGGGAGCCCTCTGTGTTTGTAGGTGCACAGACGACACAGGAAGTCTTAACTACAACATTCTTATAAAGAGTGTAAAAAAACCCTTTTTCAATATGTGTAGTTGCTATTTGAAGATCCTGAGACGGCTGTGGACAAAATTCAACGACTAGAGCTGCCACACTTTTAGATGTTTGCTATTACCAGCACACCGAGACACCCGTAAACAACAAACCAAGTTGACTTCGTGCACCCTGAAGTTACTGCCACGTAGGGGATTTTAATGATGAAACAAAATGCATCATAAGAGGAACAAAAGCCAGCGAGCAGCCGATGTCTCGACAGACATCACTCAGTTCATTTCTCAACCGAGTTATGTGTTTGAATGCAGTCTTCAATATGTTTAAAAAAAATGTCTTCACTTTGTCCTGTCAGACATGGTAATGACATGCGAAACATGTCCTCGATATTCTTTTGGTTTTCTTCATGTGACCCTTTACTGTTGCAGTGTAATATTATAAAGCTTTTGATGTTGCTTCATCTGCTCTCTGGAGAAATTTAACGGCGTCTGTGATGGTTTTTTTACAAGCCGGTTGAGCGTCTCTGCTGTGTTGTGGGCAGTCTGACACCTAGCGGGGGAGACACACATTCACATGAGCGCCGTCAACAACCGACTGGGTGATCCTCTCACCATCTATCGCAATACTTTTTTTTTTTTTTTTTAACTAGTATTTGGCTCGGGTGGTGAATCGTGAGCCAAGAATAAAGCCGATTTCTTGCTTTTGGTCACAGGCGAAGGGAAGCATCTGTCCACAGCTGTGCATTCAGTCCCCTCACGACACGTTTACGTGTCACTTGTGTCCTACAGACTGTTGACATATTGGAGCACTTGGATGTTCTATACGGGTCGTTCTCAGAATATGAATAACAAGCAAATCAAGAACCGTTTACCCATTGGGACGATTAGGTTAGTTAGTTTGACAGTTGAAGGTTACTTGGGATTAGTCAAAGAGACCTTTGGAAGGATTGCTCCACAAATACAGTTTGGCACGGCAAGAACATTTATGGACCCAGACTGACACCTAGTGGCCAGGACACACAAGTGTATTTTCCCCTCTTTATAAATGTACTGCCGTCTCTCTGACCCCCACTGTTTGACCGCTGATCTCTTGGCTCTCTCATGTAATTACTAGCTACCAGGCGAATTGATTACCTCCAACGTAGACTCTTAATACACATGTGTTAGTTATCTAGAGATGTGTATTAATGACGAATGCATTAAACGATGACAGTAATTCATTTGTAGTTTTCCCCTCTGCCATCCTGTGAATCACTCATGAGCTTAGCAGTTTCCTGGGTCCTTCTCCTGTCATAAAGGGTTTCTGTCTAATTAATTATTCTCCTCTCTCTCTCTCCCTCCACCTGCCTCCCCCACTTGTCTCCGTCCGTCTGTTTTGACTTATTTATTTTTCCCTACCCTTCCGTTTTGCTCCCTGTCATCTCGTTGGTCCTTTTACAGACACTCAAACGGCTGATTCCTGATGAGGTAGGTTCTTCAATGCATTCCACCATCACACGTGTGCTTCACTTGTCCGTCTGTCGTCCTGGACTTTGATAAAGCAACTCACCATTATGCGCTTGAATGTCACGTCACACAAAGCTATTCCAGCGTAACACTAGTGTCATCCGGCTCTGTGCTGCTCACGCTGGACGTGCATGCTGTGAGGACAACGACTGCACGGAAGGCCTGAAACATAGACTTGTGACACAGTATTTATTATTGTTTATGGAAGCGGCCACTTTGTCATCATGCAACAAGATCACAGCTATCCAGAAGTGTTTTTTCTATTTGGCAGTAAAATATGAAGTCCTTAAAACCAGATGCATGGAATCCCAGTCTGAGCGTTGTGTTCTGTGCTGGCCAGTGATGAGTGCATGTTAAACGTTGTTCAACTTTATGTGCAGTCTTTGTCTCTCTAATCCCTAATCACTGTCTCACTCATGATATCCCCAAACTGAGGGAGAAATATCACTTTGGTATTTTATTACCATTAAATAATTTAACATTGGTAATCAAGAGAGGCCTTTCTCCAAATGGTGAGCTGATTAGGGATTGTCACCGTGCCTGCTGACCTTCCAGTAATGGTTACACACTTTTCATGTTCCTGTTATATCTTTTACTTTTCTCATTGACCTCTTTCCTCTAACATGTGTCGTGTGTTCCGCTGATCCAGCTGGAACGTTTCACCAGCATGAGGATGAAAAAGGACAAGGAGAAGCCCGGCCAAGCGCCAAGCCAGCGACACTCTTCGGCGGCCAGCTACGAGATCGGCCCGCAGAGCGCCATGCTGCACGATCACTCCGATGAATACGTGCTGGAGCTCTTTGAACAGATGCTGGTGAGAGAGACGGTGCACATTTGTTCGAGTTGCGTTCACCTGTTGGTCATTTCTTAAATCTACAGATTTGTGATCACCTCATTTTCTCCTCTTCCCATCCTTTCTCCTGTCTTCCTTCAGGTGGACATGAACCTGAATGGGGAGAAGCAGGAGCCTCTAAGAGCAAAAGACATTATGATCAAGCGAGAGATGGTCTCCCAGTACCTACACACGTCTAAATCCGTCAGTACCCAAACACATGTACTAAAGATTATGAAAGTATTTGGTCCCGTAGCTAATACATAATAATAATAATAATGCATTACATTTACTATGCACCTTTTCATCAATGAATGTCAGAGTGCCATATTATGAACACAGAGTGCTGTGTACCCAGTAGGGTTTTATCTTGTTCATCTTTAACACCAAATAAAATGAGTGATCAGATCTTAGTCACAGTTATGTGCGACTAGCTGTTCAGATAAATGACCCCTACTCGAGCCAATATTGGCTTGTTAGAGACCGTATACAAATATCGGTTTGTCTAATTATCGCAACCATAATCTGATGGGTCATCCCCCCAGGTAGTCGGGTAAATAAAAGCTGCGGGTGTAATATAATCTACAAAACAGGTGGTTGCTGACAAAGTTGTTGTACATATGAAATATACCACACACAGGGCCTTCTTAATTCTGCTCATCAATCAATAACATCATTCATATTCTGTGAGGAGATTAATGTTAATGCAAAACAAAACCTTTCATTGATTAGGGTCAGAACCAGAAGGAGAGCACCAAATCGGCCATGATGTACATCCAGGAGCTAAAGTCCGACTACCGAGACACACAACTGCTGAGCTGCCTGGAGTCTCTGAGAGTCTCCCTCAATAACAACCCTGTCAGGTAACATACACACACACACGCATGTACACACAGAGATACATGCAGTGCATCCTGTTGTGGAGGGCAGATTTCCAACCAATTAAGTTGAACACTGCCTTTAAGAAGGCAGATTCTTCAGCTCCTCACACAGCTGATGTTCATACAGTTGTCCGAGTTGTGTGATCTCTAAAAAACGTCAATAGGTGACCGCTGATTACAGCTGGGGACTATTAAGCCTAGTTTATGCTTCTGCGTTATCAGAGCGACGCAGACGCAAGCCCCCCTTGCGTGTCCCTTGCGTCCCTTTTCACACCTCCTCACGTGTGTCGACCCATTTTTCTAGGCTTGCGTCGCAAGCCTCCCGCAGCGCACAAGGCTGCGATTGGTCCGCTAACTACATCCGTTACGAAGTCTCACATTTCCGTTTTCATAGCCTGATACCGCCATTATTAAAACGAAGAATGTTTGCGCGAGAACGGATCAGAGTAAAGAACCTTTGTCGGAAGAAATGCGTAAATATGACCGCTTATACAAGCCGTCATTGGCGTTTTGTAGAAGAGGGTTGGATTCACGGAGGGAGATCTCAGCAAACGGCGGTTTGCCGATTGAGAGGTGCACAAAGTTGTGGAGGAAAATACGGGACAAATGTGTCCGTGATGATAAGCAACAGTGGCGATGGACGGGGCAATGAAATCTATGATAAATAAATAAACAAACCAACAACTTCCACACACAAAGACGTGACTCTCTATGTCGTCTTCAACAAAAACACGTTACTCCACCTGTTGTTCTGGCGGTGAATTGCTCTGCAACACAAGCAGAACCATGAATTGAAAAGAGTGCGTCGACGCGCAGACGCAAACGCAGGAGCATGCGCCTGCCTTTACTGTTAACGAATCATTTGACCTTCAGATAAAACAGTGATGCTAAACTATGATAATCCAAGACAGAGAGCAGTGACTCCTTTCTAGGAACCGACTAAATCAATGTGGGCATGATGGTGTGTGATGACAAGAGAAAACTGCTATGCCAGCAAAGTATTTTCTAAGAGAGTGGGAATGGGAATAAGTCTGGCAAACCCCGATGTAATAATCAGATGCTCTTGTCCCTTCCAGTTGGGTGCAGACATTTGGAAACGAGGGACTCGCCTTGCTGCTCAACCTGCTTAAGAGACTACAGGAGGACAAAGACGAGTACCCGTAAGACCCTCAAACCACAGGGAAGGCTGTCTAACCCGATGTGTCCATAACGTCTTTCTGAATCTGTCCCTCTTATCCAACCACTAGAATGGTGGGAGTGAAATGTCAGCATGAGATCATTCGCTGTTTGAAAGCCTTCATGAACAACAAGGTAAGAAAATGAACAGTTTCCTCCGGTTGATTGGACATAGTTGTTGCGTGATTCTTCCTCTAGAGAGCAGCATTGAGTGAATGTGATTCATTACAATAAATGCAGTCACCGACGATCTTTGAGATCTATGATACTTTGGGGTTTTAGTCTGGTTTCCAACTTTAGAAAATTAGTATGATTTCCATCTTAATCTTTCACGTTTAATAGTCCCACACACTGGTAATTTACCTGGTAAATGAGGTAGTTCCTACGGAATACTTGGTTCTTCGGATGCATCCACTACAATATGAACCATGAGCCTGGTCGCGCTGCAGAAAGAAAAATCATGAAGTACTTTTCCTTCTTCTTTCTCTCATCCCATTTCTTTTCTCCCCTTTCAGCACGGCCTAAAATCCATGCTGGAGTCTGATCAGGGATTTCCTCTGCTGGTCAAAGCCATCAACCCTCGGGTGCCTCATATGATGGTGGATGCTGTCAAGCTGCTCTCTGCAATCTCAATATTGGAACATCCTGAGAACCTGTAAGCATGAGTGAAATGTTAAGAGCATGTTTCAACAGACCAATAACTAACCAACTCTTCTGCACAGCTTAAGCCTAAAGTCCAGTCTTATATGAAGATAGAGCATTAAACTGCTCTATTGGAGCAACTTGGCATTGGCGTCAATAATTGAACAATTTCAAATCACATTTATTTTCTCTCTGTCACCTGTGTATTCCACAAAAAGCTGTCAAATAAGGGAATAGAAAGTACTTTTTGAGTTGTTCATGTTTTTCACAGTAAACGTCATTTCGACGTAGTATCTGATGGAACGAGGTGTAGCAGCGTTTTATATGATGTGCATAACTTCCCTTTTTGTTGCAGTCACGAGCGTGTTTTGGAGGCCATCACCGAGGAGGCAGAGAGACTGAATATCGAGAGGTTCCAGCCACTCCTCGCTGGCATGAAACATCCCATCATTGCTCTGAAGGTGCTCATGGACGCGTCTTTGAACGTTCATAAATCCCCACATGTGTTTTTGTGTGAAAAAACAACCCGGTAGCGCTTTGACAGACGGCGCAAGTCGATGCAGAGTGCAGTGAAAAGGACTTCCTTGGCTGACAAAGTATTCTAGCTGGCATCTGTCCAGTTACTCCACGTTGTGAAATTGACTGTCCAGTGTTTTTTTTTTTTCGCAGGGTGGCTGCATGCAGCTAATCAATGCCTTGATAAGCCGGGCAGATGAGCTGGACTTCAGGATCCATATTCGCTCCGAACTGCTAAGATTGGGACTCAGAGACCAGCTGACGGTACAGAACCCCCCCCCCCTCCCTCTTTTTCATATACTCTGCTAAAAACACTCCATTGTGTGCTGTGCGTGATGCCTCTCAACTATCCACACTCAATGTCTCACACTCTCCCTGTAATCTCCCCCCCTGTGCCCTTTTCCTCCCTCCGCCTACATCCCACCGCTCTCCCTGCAGGAGGTGCGGATGATAGAAAACGAAGAGCTGAGGGTGCAACTCAATGTGTTTGACGACCAGGCTGAAGATGACTCTGAGGACCTCAAAGCACGTCTTGATGACATCCGCATTGAAATGGAATATCCTTCTACTGGGCAAAGTTGTCCCTCTGTGGAAATTGCCGCTTTTTGACCTTGGTTACAACATAACTCTGCTGGCTTGTTGTTTTGTGTTGCTTTTCTAGTGCAACCTATATACAACCTTCTTTTATAATGAAAGAATGTATCTATTAGTTACACGGTTAGGATATAGAAGTATATGCATGTGTCCTCCATTATTAAAATGAGGAATATACACAATCAGTTTTCACCTTTCTTCCCTGTTATTAGCATGACAACTTACTTTCTAGCAGGATAGATTCAAAATGTATATTTTCATCCCTGATGGACATAACGGCTCTAAGGACACGTTATGCTTGTTTGGACATTTTTACATTCAAAATCTGTCTTGCTAATTAGAATCTCAGACATTTACTACTCATACTTTTCCTCTAATTAAGTCACCATAACTGTGTACTTAAACAAAAAAGGGCAAAAGATCAGTTTTACCAATTGCTGTAATTGTCCTTGCTGATTTTTCCCTGCAGTTCTTGGTTTCACCACCAGGTGTCTCCCATGAGTAACAATTCAGTGACAGTCTGTTCTTTTCCCTGCTGATCTCAGATGATTTTTGAAAACATATTTGTTTAATACAACAAAATTGTGTTGAGTATTAAAACGCTGCCCCGTTATACAACAACGGTTTTTAGATCGTCCACAAGTTTAGTCTCCAACCCACTATTTATTTAGTTGTAATTTTTAATTACAGAAATGACACTGCTCAGTTGTATAGTAAAGTCTTGTATGAGTAAAAAAAGTGTCTTACTCAAAGTTTATTCTGTGCAGCAAAGGTGGTGTTGGTGGAGACTATCCAGAGTTGTTGTGTCACCCTGTGTTGTTGTTTGTATTGGTTAAGCCTTAACTGGTTTTGCTTCAATGATGTGAGGGAAGTCTTTGAGATTCTTGTCAACACGGTGAAGGACTCCAAAGGCGAAAACCACTTCCTGTCCCTGCTGCAGCACCTGCTGCTAATCCGCAATGACTATCTGGCCAGGTAGTACATGCACACGAATACACAACCATACATGTTCGTTCTCTCTCACACATGCACCTGCTCACACGTTTGCTTATTACAGCTGGCACAGTGAAAAGCTGCATTTACCACAAATACGGTCAAGGTTGTTTTTTTTCTTTCAATGAGAAGGTCTCCAAACCTTTGACTGGTACTATATACATTTAATCAGTTTGTAGTTTTTTATATATATATATATATATATATATATATAAATGTAAAGAACAGTATAAAAAAGTCCTCTTTCTTAGATTTATCCTCTCTCTCCTCAGCCCTGTCCTCCATTAGCTGTTTGTTTTCTGCAGGACCGTTCAAAGGCTGAGAAATTAATACATGCAAAGAAGTCCAATTCCATTTTAATAGAAATGAACGCTATCACCTCTTATCACCAGAAATATGCTAATGTCCCTCCCTGTGTCTTCCAAAGCCCCTGGGGGGGTTAGCCAGGGAAACAGAGGAGGAAGGAAGAGTGAATAAATGAATGACAAGACTGAGGCTAGAATAATAAAAAGACAAGGGCTCCATGGTGTAGTGAGCGCACACACACGCATACGTGTTCTTTCACTCCCGGCTACCGAAAAGGACAAAGGAACACACAACACACCTTTCAGTTTTATTAGCCTCGTTGTTGGTCGTAGAAGCCTTGATGGTAACAGACAGGCAAGGAATTGAGATTTATGTTTTACACAGCTCGGGTAATAAATTGTGAGGATGGAAAGGCAGTTTGGCCCAAACAAACGGTCCCAGCTGAGGTTGTTATGTTACCATCCTCTCCCGTCCGTCCCTCTTTTCCAATCCGTCCATTCTCCAGCCAGCTGATCCGCTGGAAGACAATAGAAGTGGTCTGTAATGGTGTCCGTGGAGAGACTGCAGGTGTGGGAGGGAGGAGAGCCATAGAGTGGCAGAAAAATACCGCTCAATAGTTGCAGAGATGAAGAGAGAAAGGAGTTAGAGGGCTGGACAGTAACGAGGAAGAAATACAACGTTGGGGTCAATTGCAAGGTGGACGTGGAGAGAATGAGGAGAGACGTAAAGGCCATGTAGGAGTTTGGAGGCTTTGCATTTCTCACATTCTTACTTACTGTAATTCAATCTCAAGTGCAGATGGAGGCCTGATGAATTTATGTGTCATTCACATGCTGTGCATTTACCGGACTTAATTGATGTCATTTAAAAAGTGCAATTACTTCTGTATATATGATATATTGTATATGGCCGTAGGCCTACCAGCCACCCTTTTCATAATTTACCTGATCTGAATTTGGGCTTGTCAAGGACACCAGCTACAGGATCCAGCCAGCACAAGGTCTATTGGAGTGAGGCTCAGTTTTCCGGAGCGACACTAGATGTCTCTCTCGCTCCACGGATAAGTATAAGCTTCAGGAGAAAAAAAAAGCCAAACTAAAACCTTGTAGTCTATCGAAGGAGTGGAATAAGTGTTAGACAAAGAGCAGAGTGACGGGAGACGGAATGAATAAAGTATTGAGTTTGTGACTCTGGCAGCATCTAATGGGGTCAGGGAATAAGACACCTTCCCAAATTGAGTGTCTGGGAGAAGCGGGCTTGATCGGACATGGGGCGCTGGACGTAGACCAACACACTCTCAGAACACAGTGGCACACGATCAATCTTAGTGACAAGAAACTCAAACCGTCATGCTCCTGACAGACGGGCCATCTGGGTTTCTGAGTGATAAAGCATCTGTGTTCATGCATTTGTCTGGACAAATGAAGAGACTCGCTCATCGTCAGTCCGATCAACCGCTCCCATAGTGTGCCCGATTTCTTAACGTGTACTAAAGTGGTATTCTACAATACTGCATGCAAAGTGTACTACTGATCCATTCTCTTCTTTTTTACCCCGCACACCAAACTGACTCCACTTTCCATTGTCCCCCCCCTCTTCTCTTATCTTCCCCCTGTCTCTCACCGCTGCTTTCTCCCTGTCTTCTAATCCAACCATCTGTAAATCTGTCACTCCGTCCTTCCTGCAGGCCTCAGTACTACAAGTTGATAGACGAGTCTGTTGCTCAGATCGTGCTTCACAGGAATGGAGCCGACCCCGACTTCAAGTGCCGTCACCTCAGTCTCAACGTTGAAGGCTTGATAGGTGAGTCGATGGGCCAGAACATACACATGATCAAGTATTTCTCCTTCCCTTCTTCCTAGTGCACCCTAAGGGCCTTCTGCCCATCAGCCAACCTGCTCCAACATTTGACCAAATAGCCACAAAATGCCCGTAGACCAAAACCAAGCTTTGAGGATGGAAACCTTCAACTGCATTTCAGTTTGGCCTTCCTCCTTTCGGTCTGTGATATGACTGCTGTGTTGATGTTCTTATGCCGACCCGATGGGATTTAGCCTGAATCACAATTTGTGACTATGGCTCAATGTGGTCAGAACCATGGATGGATGAGAAAGTTTCTCAGGTATAGAACGGTCGCCTCTCTGTTTAGAGGATACGGTCACCATTTTTTAAAATGGCCTTAAAACGATAATCAGGCGCCCAGTTGATTGTTAAAAATATCTTTCGCTTACTGTGAACATTCCTCTCTTTCAAAGTGTCCGTTTAAAGATCCGCTCCTAGTGCGCTTCCAAACTCCTTCTGTGCCAAAATGTTTATCTGAAGCGACTGACTTCAGCAGTTTGACTTAATGAAATCAAGTACCTTCCATAGTTCCAAAGTACAAGGGTCTGTCTTTGTGCTGCCATGCCTTGACTGCGGCTCATCAAAAGGGTGTCGGGGAAGCAGACTTTGACTTCAGGAGATGCTCAATTCACTTGATTAACTGCGGATGCTAAAGCCTCATAGTGGATTCAAATACATTTTTGCACATAATGAGCACTGAGAGGGTCTTTTTAATGGCCTGCATGAAAGAGGAATGATTAAAGCTGACTAAAACGGTTTTGACTTGCATAAGAGCACCTGACTATAGTTTTCAACACTGACTTTTGATTAAAATGGTGAGCCCATGAACCCACGAGCAAGGCGCAGAATCCAGCTCATCGGAGCAACGCAGACTTTTCCAGCCGGATCAAGAAAGTGTGTTATGATGGCCAGTGATCCATGTCATTTCCTGTCTCCCTCTATCCTGTGCGCACACATGACATGCAGAGTTTTAGGTGAGGAGTGGTGCATACTGGGTAAATGTGCACGTGCACTTCAGTGACTAAATGTTGACGAGGAAGCACCCGCTAACGAAAACCGGAGCATAATGGAGGTGGAGGCCACGTCTCAAGAGTTCAATACTCCTTTATGGCAGTTCTCCGTTGCTCACCGCAGGAGGCTCTAATTGCACTGCTTCTAAATGCGTCCTGACACACACACACGCTCACACAGGCTGGCTGGCCTCCTTTAAGGCTGCCAGAGTTATTATCGGTGGAAAGCAGCCCAATTCTGCCCTGCATGCATTATTTAGTGTTTTTCTTTGAACTCTGAAATTCAGCACAGTTTTCCCCTACATTCTCGCTCCCTTAGTGCTCTCCATTCGAAGTTTGTCCCATTTAGCCTAGCCACCACGACAGAAGTAACCCCCCCCCCCTCCCCACTCCCAGAGACACAAACACACACTCCCCTCCTCCATTACACATCCAATAACTACGTAAAGTCATACACAAACCTACACTCCGAAACTCTGTGGGTTGGCATATTAATGTGAAGTTCTTTCATCCGGCAAAAATCTTCCCAAAATAGAATTCCCATTTAGCATTCTGTGCCTTTCTTAATAGCTTATCTATATATAAGGTTGCATAGTTTCGACTTCTTCTTCCACTAGCATTATCTTCAATGCAACCGAAGCCTCCCTCTCTCCTCGCACTATCTAATACCATCTTCTATTTTTGCTCCACTCCCATCTCTGCTATCTATCTGTTTGATCCCTCTCCTGAGCATCATGATTAGCTGTCTTTGATCCAGTTACTCTGTGGCATTCATCTTCATGCTAATTAGTTATTTTACTGCACATGTTCGGTAAGCCCTCGGGGGCGCTGAACCACCTGTAGGCCATGCAATTATTCTGTACAAGTACCCTGTTGGTCAGCGGGTGTCCTTATCATTTTGTCCTCTGCCAAGCCCAGCCTCTGATAATGGATTACCTGCAGACTGTTATACGGGCTTTCTTTTTCACAATTCGACAATTTGATGGAAATTGGTGTGAGATGTATCCGTCGTAGAAGGAAATGAGTGTGCTCCCACCTCTCTCGCACATCCACAGACTTGGACAAAGGTGTATATAGTCTGGGCTTTAAAGGGAGCGGCGTGCAACAGAAGGCAACGAGATGCCTCCACAATCTTCTCGCAGATCTTGAGTTTGAGTAGTGTGATAAGGGGGAAAAAGACTAGGGCGGGGGGGCAGATAGGACGCTCGCTCTGTTTGTATGCATCTGTTTGTAAATGTCTGCTGGTGCACAGTGTGCGCCAGACAGAGGGGTGCGATGTCTTCGCGCCCAGACGCGCGCGGGTGCGCTGTCTGAAACCCTTATCTCACCCGCCACCTTTTCCTTTTCTCCCGTCCTCTGTGTGTCCACAGACAACATGGTGGACCAGACCAAGGTAGAAGCCAGCGAGGCCAAGGCCGCCGAGATGGAAAAGAAGGTGAAATACACGCATTCATTCACAGTGGACGTCCAAAATGAAAAAACAAACGCACAACAACAACAACCCACAGCATGTAATACCCACGGACATATTTGCATGTCATCCCAGAAGCACACAAGGTATTACAATCATACATTGTAAGAGCCCCCCACCCCCCACCTCCTCAAACACGGACACATTGTAATTGTAATTAGATTCTATATGAGCAGTGTTAGTCTGACACGGGATGACAAATGAGAAAAAGGGAGGGATAGTGGGAGACTAAGAGAATGAGCGCGCACGTGTCTTTCGGACAAATGCGCTTACATTCATACATGGTGAGGGGGTCGGGCGGGGGGGGGGGGGGTGTGTGACTTGTTTGTGTCCCACCGACAGGATAATTCCACAAAGGGAGCACGGATGGCCGTTCGTTCAGTCACACTGGATCACGTCCACGCATTAACTGAAAACACATTCATTTCATTTCTGTTTACCACGCACACACACACGCACACACACACACACACACAGGGCTAGTTGTCTATGACGAGGTAATTGCAGGCAGTCTTTCTGGCAGGAATTAGGGATGCGGCTGTCAGGTCACTGGCAGTAAGGGGAAACGGATCTTCCGTCAGCAAATTAAACAGCCGCGTGTGTGTGTGTGTGTGTGTGTGTGCGTGCGTGCGTGTGTGCGTGTGTGTGTGTGCGCGCGCGTGTGGGGTCATCGGTTGGAACGCTATTATCCTGTTTTGTCAAGTGTCCTAGAAACAAAATCCTCGAAAATGTATGAAAGTGAAACAATTCAAGTTTTGGGTAAAAAATCTTCGCTTTCTGTTTCTAATGCATGTGAAGTCTTTAAAATGGAAGTGAGAAGAGCGCTCATTCAAGTGCACTGAAGCATCTTAACTCAATAATTGATACTAATTTGCAGTGCAAATTATACAATGGAACTGAAAGCACTAGACTGCAGGAAATTGCTTCTACAGGTCTTTGAGATACGGAAACTGCTGCTCTTAAAAAAAGGGAGACTGAAAGCTTGTGCATATAAACACACTTTGTTCCCATAATCCATTGGGGTTCGCTGGTGTGTGGTTTGCTTCAGGGTCGATATTGATGTGGAGTATTTCTTTATTTTCTGCTCTCCAATCCTCTTAATAAAAATAGTTTGTGAAATGAAGCCTGTGAACGCTGCTCGCTTCTGAATTACAACAACACTAAATCCATTCCATCATTATGTTTTATAAGAAGAATCTTTCTAGTTTTCAGGCCAATGGGACCTTTATGATTCTTAGTGAAATCTTCAGTCTTTTCTACAACCGTAGAGATACCGCTTCTTACAGGTGTAGGGCCACCAAAAAGTCTACCTTGCCCCTTGGGCCACTCTAACAGAGTCTGTCTCCCTCTGTGTGTCCCTTCATGTGTGTTTGTGTTAGCTGGATGCCGAGTTGACGGCCCGCCACGAGCTGCAGGTGGAGCTCAAGAAGCTCGAGGGCGACTACGAGCAGAAGCTGCAGGGCTTGAGCCAAGAGAAGGAACAGCTGGCCACTTCTAAGCAGGAGCGGGAGAAGGAGAACCAGGGACTCCAGCAGCAGCTCGGCACCCTCAAGCAGCAGGTACACACGCGCACACACACACGTGTCCATGTTAGGAACATTAGGACAGAATCAATAAAGCTTCAGTCGGATCATTTATTCACTCCTGTTTGTTTTGCTCGGAATCGCCTACAGAAGAAAACAAACTTCTACTGAAGAGAAATATTTTTGTTTTGATGAATACTAATCCCGCAACTTTAAGCGCCAAAAAGTTGTTCCAACAAACACACAGAAGCCCCGTGGCCCTAAATGATTTAGCCAACTGCCAGAAAAGAAAGCGTCAACAAAAAGCATATCTTGTGTGTGTGTCTCAGTGTCAGTGTGTGTGTGTTTGTGGAGTGGAGTGTGCGGGGGGGGGGGGGGGGGATTGTTTAGCCGTCAGTGTCCTGCTGCCACACCAGCTGGACTTTGCCTCAGAGTGACACCCAAACTCACCAAGTGACCCAGAACAGTCTGCCTCTGTGCACGTGTGCCCGTAACCACATGAAGATGTTTCACTTTGAATGTTTGTGTGTTTGTCCGCCTGTCTGTCGGGTAAGAGAATTAAATCGCTTCCAAAATGAGCCTCATCCAAAGCGGCGGATGCCACCACAGTCCTCGTCCCCGAGCGCGCGTACGCTCGTCCGACGCATCGACGGCGTCGCTGTGCGGCCTTCAGACAGGCTTCCACGCGGTGACGGCTCACTGTCTCTTGTGTTTGAGGCGCTGCCCATCGGAGATTTCGTCACATGTGCCGATCTCCCGCTGTTCCTCCGTGTGATGCCGTGCCCGGCTCTCCATCAGTCGCCTCGCTGAGAAAGCTCGCCTCAGAGGCCCCTTTTATGTCTTCTGTTCAAAGTCCGAGGAAACGACACTGACAATTTGTCACGCGGCATATGGACACACTCTCTCTCCCTCCCTTTCTCACCGTTCACTCTTTATGCAGCTAAGAGGAAGATGTTTTAAATCTCATGCGGTACATTCCCATTCAAAGTCCAAGTCCTCTCTCACAGATTCACCATCAGCTGGCCGACTTAAATGACTCGGGATAGTTTCCTCAAGAATTGGCCCCTCACTGATATAGTCGGATTAGTATTTCAATGTTGACTAAAAAAATTGATTTCACACTAATTTAGTTTCTTTTGGATTCCTCTGTGGACTTAATTCCCCCCTGTAATGCGTTCCTCTCTGGGCGTGCTCATCCATTCTCCCCCAAAACTCCATCCTGGCCAGACTTTAATCCATTTCTATGTTGCTACTTTCCCTCTTTTGTTAAGCTTGTTTTTTTTATTCCCTCAAATATAATCACTCAGTTGCCATGGCTATTCAACTGGAAATGGTGGATATTGCCAAAGCTTTCCAAAACAAATGTCCATGCTGAACGTACAGTGTTGTAATGCTCATATGAATTTTGATGGGCTCCTGTGTGGACCTTCCCATTCGTATTTCAATCTATGGTGATAACAAATATGTGTCTTCACTTCCCTGCAGATTGAAAAGCTGTCCAAAGATCTGGAAGAGGCCAAGACCAAAGTAGTCACAGTCACTGTTCCTCTGCCGCCTCCCCCCCCTCCTCTACCCGGCCAAAATGCAGGTATGCCCCCTCCACCCCCTCCGCCTCCTCTCCCGCCGATGCCAGGCTATGCAGGCGTACCTGCTCCTCCACCCCCCCCTCCTCTACCGAGTCAAGCAGCATTCCTCGCCACTCTTTGCCAGGCATGCCAGGGCCACCGCCACCCCCGCCCTCCCTGGCATGCCGGGACCTCCTCCACCCCGGCCCTCCCTGGCATGGCAGGACCTCCCCTCCTCCACCCTTACCCGAGATGAGACCTCCACCACCGCCCCCGCTGCCCGAGTTTCCCGGTATCCCCCCGCCACCGCCGGGCCCAGGCATCCCTCAACCTCCACAATTTGGCATGGAGGGCTGGGTGGCCCCCGCACCACCCTCCCTGCCTTACGGGCTCCAGCCTAAGAAGGACTACAAGCCCGAAGTCCAGCTGAAGAGAGCCAACTGGAGCAAGGTCGGTCCTCAGATCGGCGGTTCAAAATGAGATCGCTCTCCAATCACTTGATGTGCAATTTCCTCTGCTTTTTTTCACGTTCATGTTGTACGTTCTCGTCAGCTCCTCGTGAAACAGGGAGGGACTTTATTTTAAGGGATTCTGATGGAATTTAGTTTATGTCAGTTATGTCCGTTTAAGTCTTTATTGTGTGCAACAGTGTGGGCGCGTTAGTAGAGGGATTCTGACCTAAAGTGACTGGCATGCATATGTGTGTCTCACGACTGTGCGCTTCATGTTTTTCTCAAACCTCTCATGTGTAATGGTTAAAACATCAAAACGGCCCTCTGTCTTTCTCTAGCCTAAAGCTACTGTTTAATGGCCTCAGCAGGCTTCATCAGCATTTAGCTTCTCTCTCTCTTTCTGCCGAGAGTGTTTGACGAGGATGTCACAGAAATTGCTTTTTAATAAGCCTTCTTTTAACTGCGCCAGTGAAAGATAATTAAATTGCTGGTAGAAAGGACAGTATTCTTTTGTAATTTAAATTAACTTTTTTTTTTTTCATTGGCTTGGTCTCATCCTGCTTTTTTTCCCCGCATTTGCTTTTCTTTCTTGCTCCTTCAACTCATCCCCCATATCGCATTTCCCTTCTCTGTCTTTTCTGTCCTCCACTCCCCCATCCCTGAGGCGTTGTCCATAATGAAAGAACTGATATCTGTAAATTTACTACCACTGCTTTCCCTCTCGCTCTGTTTGACTATTTCTCTTTGTCCTTTTTCTTTAATGAGAGCACTCACAAAGTTAAGGAAAATCATACAAAGTTCATTTTGACTTGTGACCATGAGGGAGAGAAGAGGAGAGTAAGAGTCTTAGTAAGGTTGAAGAAAGAATGGGGCGAGAATCCTCTCTTGTTTCTTTGTATTTGAAGCTCTGGATGCTTTGTGGTATCTACAGTGTGCAAAGATTAGAAAATAACCACCTGTTTCCTCCTCTGTGCCTTTCAGCCCCTTTTTACATCCTGGCGGTGTCCTCTGTTGTGTCGACTTCTTTTTACGCGTGTTTCATTGTTTGCCCTGTGCACAGATAAAAATTCAGGAAAATTTAGTCAACTTGATGATATGGTTATCTAAAAGATAAAATGTATAACATCTTTAACCACAAAGATAACATCTTTCTTCTTCGTTCCATCTCCCCCTCTCTGTGCGTACGGCCGTTTTTCTCCCTCAGATCGGACCTGAGGACCTCTCTGAGAAAAGCTTTTGGACCAAGGCGAAGGAGGAGACTTTGGAGACCAGTGAGCTCTTTGCCAAACTCACTTTGGCCTTCTCCTCACAGACAAAGTGTGAGTGTGTGGCTTGTGTGTTTTCACTACGGTCATCATCATGTGGTGTTTCACAGTAATGAGCAATGTCTTCCTCTATGTCTCGTCCCTCCCCTTCCCCCCAATTCCACGTCTATTTCAATCCTCCTGCTTCCATCAGCCACCAAAGGTAAGAATATCACACACCCGCTTCCATTTAGTCTTTATTTCTCCTCGCATCCTCTCCAGCATTCCTCAACCTTCCTCTACTTGGAGGACACGCTGCACATTTACATTATTCAGTAACACTGTGTCAAAACAGCCTCTCACACCACTTCATGAATAAACCACCCACACCTGTGGTTTGTGTGTGTGTGTGTGTGTTGGTCTTCTCGACGTGCCTGAGGTTTGTTTGTTTGCGGAGAGACCGAGCGTCTGGTGAGATGAATTTGGGGACTTTGGGAGAGACGGACAAAGAGAGGAGGGACAGGAAGAAGGTCACTGATGTCCTTCCACTAGCCACCTGCTGTCCTGGCACAAAGCGCTGACACACGGGCGTACGCTCGCACACGCACACCTGTCCACTCCTATCACCTTGTCCAGGGCCACTGAGCCTTCTGCCCCGACTCCTCCATATTAATATAGTAACCAGGACACCAGGAAATCCCAGGCACACAGCGCGTGTGTGCGTCCGTGCGTGTGTACACACACACAGACTGGCTCGTGACATATACATAAACAGAAGTGCACATGCACACATGGCTGATGCTAGCAGATGATGTCAGGTAAATGTCAAAGGGTGGCAGCTGTCCCATTTCCATTCACCTGCATGGCAAGTCCTAACGTTCGCCTGTCACTCCTCGCTTTGACCCCTCCACCCCCCACCCCCACCCCCCGCTCGTGCACCCACGCCTCTACTTTTTATTGGTTGAGACAGCCGCTCGTTCTGGTTGATGTCTAATAACCTTTTCGCAGAGCTGAGTATAAAGACACCGTGGCCTTTTCATAGCCCCACACCTGTGTGTGTGTGTGTGTGTGTGTGTGTGTGTGTGTGTGTGTGTGTGTGTGTGTGTGTGTGAGAGACCTAGTCCTGTGTGTTTATGACTGTGGAAGTTGATTTGTTGATATATATGGTCTTGAATCTGTTGAAGTTTGGTTGAACAACATGTTCTTCAAAACCAAATAGTCTTTTCATTGAGCTGTTGTGTGGGCATTTTATTGTTTTGTTAGTGCACATAGTGTGAGGTTTAATCCTTCCTGTGTGTGTGTTTGTGTTTGGAATACATATTTGTGTATTCATTCCCAATAAGCAACCAGCTCTGGTTGTACAGATTGACCCTTCACCCGTTGTCCTTCCTTCTCTCGCTTAAACACACCGCTGCAGGCGTGATACATTCCTGCTCACCTCCCCATCCGTCTCCTAATCCCTCATTTGTGGAAGGCTGACTTTCCTTTTCCTCGTCTTCCTCCTGCGCCTCCCATTCCTTGTTATCCAGCAAACGGACAGACGAACACATCTGACCGGCTGACCCTGTATGACCTTTTTCTTCTTCCTCCCTATCAGATGGCCGGCACTGCTGCTGGGGTTACACACGCACACACAGGCACAATCCCACACAGATAAGAGACGTGTGTGTGTGTGTGTTTGTGTGCATGCTCAGGGCGGGGGTCAGGGGTGTTGACCTCTGAGGCTCGGTAGAAGAGCGTAGAGCTGATGGTGAGAGACACGTCCTCTGGCTCTCACGGCTCTCAGGAACACACTCACGCACTTGGACACACGCACGCGTCTCGCTCTATTTCACGGTTTGCTGTTTATGTAGTTGTGCGTATTTCTCTAGCTATGCAGCTCAGGCCGTTGGATGACGTGCTCGACTTCAGCAGTTAAGATGCTCCCGGCTCCTTTCAGCTGCTGAGCACGTCCGGCTTCAGCCGAAACAAATCCCCCAGCAATCCTGGACTGACTACAGAGATGATTATTAAAACATTTGTTATTCTAACGTAAACCTAGTAAGTGTGTTTCCCTGTGCTGGTTTTAGATGCATTACAGTAAAGTGATGTACTTGTCCTTGATTCGTTTGGCTTCAACCCTTCCCTTTTGTTGCGATATCTATACATTTTTTTTTTCCTAGTTGAAGTCATTTGACTTTTATGTTGAGGGATTTTCCCCCAACAAGAGCAGAAGCTGATATCAGACACACACCAGCTCCTTTCGTATATTTGTGCATGTGTAAATAATCTATCAGCATCTGCAGAAAATATATCAGAGAGGACTTTCTAATTATTTCTTGTACTTTGGTGGTGTTTTTGAATGTGGTAACTTGAGACATCCTTCTGCCTGATCAAGTCAGCGTTTGGCATTGAGCCCACTTGACTACGTGTCTTCAATAATGGTTGTCAGGTCAGGCGATAGATGCTCATGTGCACCAGCACTCGAGAAGAACTTCACTTAACTTGATGTTTTCCAGTCGAGCGTCCTTAAATTCAAGAATTTTCCCCGTTGGTCGCTGTTAGTGGTACTGTGGTGCTGAACATCGTATTCACCTGCATGGGCAAGATTAAATGAGCTGTCACCACGAGAAAGCAGAAGTTTATATTATGGAGTCAGTCAATACATTGACACTGTTTTGCTTTATGGGTTACATCCTGTTTTACATAATGCATCTGAACAGCAAGATGACGCTAATACAGCTTGTCATCCACAATCATTTATTTTGATTTTATTAATCTAATTGTGGAAAATACTGCTTCTATTCAGTGTCCTATTGTTGGGTGTTGCCAGTTTAATGGCTTACAATGTGGATGTGAGAGGAATGAGAACCAGCTACTGGTTCTCATTCCTCTCTTCATTGTGCCTGTAGCCGTTTTCTACTCCTAAGTATGTGTTTCGTGCTTTCTTTCTGATATTACTGAGAATAGTGATATTACTGGGAGAACAGAATCTGAACGGGGATGTTTTTCATGCGGGTACCCATGGTTTTGGTCTTTGTAGGAAGGTGACAGGGCTGGAATTCATACTGCTCTTCTAATAGGTGTGGATATCCTTAACTGTCCTTTTCTCACTTTTTCCGACTGGCTTTGATAGCAGGTGCCTTTTGAAGTCGGCACCTCAGATAGCCCAATTAGCAACAGAATAAGGGAGAGAGAGCGAGAGAAGGATAAAGTGGGAGGAGGAGCAGGGTGGAAAAAGAGCGAGCTGAGGGAAAGGCTGGGCTAGGGGGAACGTCGTGATTCATTTGATTCAGGAGAGAAAAGGAGAGAAAATGGCCAGGAGCATATATGATTATTAATCCTCATAATGCCAGGATCATTTTCACATCCCAATTCTCCAGCGCTCACCCTTTCCCTTTTATGTGTCCCGGTCTCCATTGCCGGATTTTCCGTGGTCTGTTGAAGTAAGACAACCTCATTTTTCTTCTCCAGTGCAGCCCCCCCCCCCCCCCTTCCTCTCCACCCACCAAAAGAGTCACTATGGGATGTCATCAACTCCATATCACTGCCTAACACACCTACACATGCAACAGCACCTTTCCTGCAATCCAGATTCATTTCCAGATGAATGCGTGCGGGGGGGGGGCTGTGTGCTGGGGAGAGTGGGTGGGCGAGCTCAGACGCATTTACAAACCAATTATAATAAGCCTTTTGATCTGCCTGTGTTATGAACAAATCAATTTCCTTCTCTTAGTTCATGTACACACGTGTGTGTGTGTGTGTGTGTGTGTGTGTTTAGTCTTATGCCCGCTCTTTTCACCTTAATGAGCCACCAATCTGCAAGAAAGTGTGCGTATTTGCTGATGCTTGCCTGGGGCCTCTCTCTGGTGTAAGTCCATTAAAGGGATGAGATATGTCATATATTAGCAATAAAAGCTCTACGCATGGAAAATACGGGCGCGGTGTTGACGAGGCCTCCACATCTTCCGCTAAACAAAACTCCCTCCACCTGGTGGCTTGTTTTTTATTTTCCTTGGAGTCAGCTGGAGGAAAATGAGCTAGCCAGTGAAACTCACTTTCTCAAACTAAATGTCATCTGTAATATATTGATTTACCCTTTAGTCATCTTATCTCGGAAGTTCATAGACAGTTCATTGTGTGACGAGCCTGATGTCCGTGCACTCGCTGCTCCTCATTGGATACGCCTGATATCCAATGAGGACAAAAAAAGTTTATGAAAAGGAACACAGGTGAGAGTGAGGGAGGGAGCGGGGGGGCTCCTGTCTTGCCTCCTTCCCATCTCCTCCATCCCAGTTTCATTACCCCACCCCCTCCACGATGTTTGTTTTTCCACTGTTGGATCCCCTCTAGGTCTCAGCCAAGGAGCATCTGTGAGTTGCATTCGGGTTTGTGTTTACATTTGCGTCTGTGCGTGTGCAATTAGAGAGTTTTAGATGAGTTTCTGGGACTTGTAGACTTGCAGCTGCGGTCTCATGAGACCATATCTAACATGTACTAATGAAGCACTTAGTAGACTAAATGAGGAATAATCCCACTTTATTAAGCCACGACAGTGTTTGTGCATGCTTGTGCGATTGTGCTAAATTAGTATTGGCTTTGAAAAGCTTGTGTGCGGTGTGTTTGAAGTTATCTCTGAGTGCATGTGTGTATATGTTTGTAATTGTGTGGCGCACAAAAGCAGGCCGTGTTAATAAATCATGCCGTGTTCAGGCTGTAGGAGGAGAAGCAGGTTAATGCGAGGGTCACTAATGCAGCAGAAAGAGCCGCGGAACATAGCGATAGTATTCTTTGCTCCTGTTCTCTCCCATTCATTCCATTTCTGGAGGCAGCCACGGCCGCCATTTACCTACCTGCCTACCTACCCACCCCCGCCCCCCCACGGCAACACATAACCAGACGATCGGATCACATTGGCTCTGTTCTCAGTGGGAGACGTGAATGGAAGTGGCCCCTATAAGCCGAAATATAGACGAGCTTTTCGATATGCAGGTCTTGAACGATTGGCTGGGTCCCCGTTGTGTTGCACGCGCGTTTTATGTGTACCACTGCTTAAGTTGAAATCCTAACCGTGCCGCCTTAAGCCCCTGACTGTAGCGTTGCATTAGACCGGCCCCGCTCGCTCTCTAAGCCTCGGCGTGTATTCCCACCGCGGCAATAGCGAGAGCGCTCCCTCATTCTTCCGTGTCTTTAAGGTTGGGGGAGCAGCCGCTCATTCATCGGGCCTTATCAGGTTCAAACACA